GCTGGSCTCCATCCTGGGCTCTCCCACAGGCTCCCTTGAACTGGTCAGAAACCTCCCCAGCCTCTTCTCAACCTGTAAAGATACTTTTGCAAATCTACTTGGATTTTAYCAAATTCTGAAAGCTGTTAACTACAGAACTTTGACTTCAGGAAAAAWCTGCAATGAAGGCCCCGTGACTCGAGCCAGTTCCTACTTCAAAAGCACAAGTTGCTTGTTTACTGCATTTCTATTCCAATGTACAGACACCTTCAGATGCCAAGAACCACTGGGACAGCTTGTTTCTCCTYCCAGAACCTGCTGTATCCCATCCCATCCCTCTGGAAATATCCCCGTGTCACTCTGCTTAGGGTGCTTGCCTTATCTTGAGGCAAGGAAGGGTTTCCCAATGCCTGGGATTGGGTGCTGACTGTCAGATGTGATGGRAATGTGTGGGAAGGAAAAACAGCTTTACATAGGTAGTGTGGCAGTGGCAAAACTTGGTGCCTGGTCTGTCCCGTGCCCCAGGTGTGATGGAGGAGGAAATTTTCCAGAGGGAGAGCTGTATGGCCAGCAGTGTGAGGCCAGTGGTCAGTGTAGCCCAAGAGAGGGTCTTGGCTGCTTGGAAACTGATCCCAACCACACCATGCAACCTTGCTGTTGGATCATTACCTGGAGACTTTTTAGTAAGTGATTTCCATTTTGTTCTCCCTCCAGAATAATAAAAGGTTCTTCATCGTAGCAAAAGATTCCCCAGAAACAACAGCCTGATACACGCAAAACAGGGAAGAAAATCTCTTCATCAATGGGGATGCAGAACATTTCTTTTTTCAAGAGGGTATTATTTTTGCAACATTTCCTTCTTTCACTTATCCTGTAGCAATACTCCTCTGCTGTCATATTTGAAGTAGTTTTTGCTCATTATAATCACACTTTACTAGTCTTCCTATCTYGTAGTATTGCATTAATATTCATAGACCAAAATAAAAGTGGAATTACCTAGAACACAGTTTCCYAGTATTTGCCTGAAAGACAAGCTGCAAAAAGGCATCCTTTCCAGATGGTAAAATCAATCCTCCCTCCACTAATCTCCACAGCCACAAAACCCTCCACGCATCCTAGGAAAAAGCTATAATCAAATATTATTATGTGAAAATAACTGAAGATGTGGATTCCACTTGCCATGCAAAAATGTCTTCTCCTGATCTTTTTTCCCCAAGATCTATGTTTGCACTGTGCAAATAAGAAAATCTCTTCAATATACACCTTGAGCTTTAAATTTTCAGTTGTTTTGATGGCAGCATCTGCACATGGAAGAGCTGCAAGGATGGGTGGAAGATAAGATGGGAAGCGTAGTCACACGTTTTTCACCCTGTTGTGCACTGCATTCACTCTAATAAAATCAGTTATTTTCCCCCACATTTTTTAAGTTTATTATGTATTTACCTACACATGTTTAAACATCTCCAAAGCCTGCAGTGAAATAAATTACATACTGAAAAATTGTCTCAGGTCTGCAAGACACACCTTGCTCAAGAGAGGTAATTTAGCCAAAGAGCARGAAAAACAAAGGAGTGCTCTGCCAKCATCATGATGGTGTTTAACCTCTGCATTTTCTTTGTAAGCATAGCCATGGCCCAGACAGATGTATTCCACATTGTGATCACTATCTATCAAAAAAGTCTTCATCTCTCTTTGTAAAGGTTCAAGTTTGTTGTAAGATCAAGCCCTTTGTTTGTTCAATGAAGAGCTACAGTTGTATCTGTCAGTCCCTCATCTTAAACCTCGTGCATTTTGAGTAAGTGTCCTCATGCACTGGGTATTTTTTCCTAGAAAGTTCTATTTTCGAACTAAATATGCTTGAAAAGCAAAAGTCTTTAATAAAGTCTACATGAGTGTCATATGGTTAAAGTGGATGAWCTGAAGCCTTGGAGAAGATAACAGAGTGTATAAACTCTTCATATTCCCACTTTCCACAGAGCTCATAAACTTTGCAAGAGCCCACAGGTGAGCAGATGCTTTCACAGAAGATATGTGCACCAGTAGAATTACTCTACTGTCTTTCCAAAGAAAAGGAAAAAAAAGTCAAAAACTCCAAACTCCACTAGTGCAGCCAATGAAATGTTTAGCCTTCCTCCTTTCCAATACACCCAACCTCAAAGATGTTGGGTTTTTGTCTTTCAACTGTATAAATATATCTTAAGCCAAACAGCCGAGATTAAAGGGGAATTATAAACACTGCACGTGCAGAATTTGATTTGAATTTGCACATTATAATTAACAACTTGCAAGGATGTTGCAATTACATCTCATTACGATAGGATGAAAATGACTGTAGTGGATTAAGATAACTACACTGTCCAAGTCATGTTGACAATATTTGCTGGCAGCTGCTGGGGTACACATACATATCATGTTTATCAGTGAAACCACCCCTGCAGGAGGACCAAATTTCAGAACCTACCCAGCCAGAAGCAGATTAGACAGGGAAACTGAGAGCAAAGGTCTGAAGAAATAAGATGGAGACTGTGGAACAGAGTGGGGGAAAGAAATCTCATCTCAGGAAGGAGATGTTTACATCACATCTTTTGTCCCTGCAGTCAGGAAGGTGTATAATTAAACTTTGTTTAACCAGTGCTGTGTTTAGCTTGGCACAAAGTTAAACATCCCACAGAACATGATGCTGAATGCATGTTTTGCCTGACCCTTCTGGAGAACAGCAGATACATGTAATCCCAGAATTACTGAAACCCTATATTTCATCACTAAGCCAGGTGGAATCAGGCTCAGCACAAGGCCTGGATGCTAACAAGTGAGATGCTGTCTCATGGCTTGATCTTTTGGGTGGAATCCAAGACCAGCACCAGCCACCTCTGCCCTGCATGAGAAAAGACAGAAGACACAAAAGAAAAATCCCAACATCCCTGAGCAAGGAAAAATGAAGAACAGGTATCTGAGCACATCCCACCTCTGGAAAGAAGGTGTCTGAGGAACAGGTCTGGAAAGGATTAGGACAGTGAGATTAGTTTGCATCCTTGACAGTCAGATCTACAGTCCTGTCCTGGGTCAGGGATAACTCACCCCTGTGAAGGGCAAGATCTGCATTTTAATGGCATCATCTAGCAGAGGCAGAAGCCTGGCAGCACAACCCACCGTTACCTGGCCTGTGCACACAGTGTTTACATTCAGCCTTCACATACCCTCCCACTGGCTAAGTGACTCTGATGGGCCAGACATATCTTGGAAATTTTGTYCAGCAGGATTTTGAAGCTAAGGCTTCCTGGGCATTTATTTCCCTTGAAGAGGTCAAGGTGACAGATGCATCYCTATTGAGGGCATAATGCAGTCGTGCAGCTCATAAACCATTTCTAATGCTCTCAGAAGCATCAGTGGACTCTTCAGTGTCCCTGCTGGATAATGTCCTGCATATGTGAGCAAGTCCAACATGTCTGAGTTAAAGCTGCTGGACATACTGCCGATGTGGTGCACAGTAACCCCAGATGTTGCAGGACAGTCCCCACAGAGGATGGCCTCCCTAGTTTGTCTGTAGATGCTGTCCCATTTCCAGGGAAACTGTGCRTACAGCTGCAGGATTTAAGGCTAACAGAGTGAGGCAGGATAAGGAAGGAAGTGAAATGCCAACACCTATCTTGGTCCTGAAGTAAGGTGAAATTTGTCTTGTAGTATCAAGAGAAGCAAGGTGAAACACCTTCGTGGTTCTGGTCCAGTTAAAGCCGGCATTCATGGCATTCTCCAGGGCCTAACCCAGAGACCAAGAAGAGGGCTCACTTTTCAGGAAACTTAGGAGGAAACTCAGGGCTGAGAAGCCCTCTACTAAGCATTATGTCCTTTCTCCTGCTCTCCAGTGCCATGTAACAGAGGCCAGTTTGCTGGCTTGACTTATCCCAGCCACAGAGCTGATGCTGGAGCCCTGAGAGCAGGACTGGGCGGTGATGCTCAGTGGAGGGAGCTGGTCATGCCTGGAGCCCTACACTCACAGAGACCTGCTACAATTAACTCATTACAGCTCAATTTTGTGCATGGAAGGCAGGGTTTCACGGCACACAATAAACTTTCAGGAACAATTTTGAAACGCTGTAATAAATGACCCCTGAGATTGCTTCAGCAAGTACATGCTTTTACATTTATTTTGAACAAGACTCTGAGCCCTAGAGAAAATGCTCTTCCTTTTAATTCGAATTAGCATGGATTGTAAGAACTCTTGAAATGYTCCTGGCTTAGGCTAACAGCTCTTCATTCACAATTACTTGTTTCAGATTATGTCTAATTGTACATATTAAGGTGGGGGGAACGGAAAATGGAAAAAAAAAGGGCAGGAAGAKCACATCCAGAGTGACCCCTCTCTTGGGCTATTCTCCCAGACTTAGTGGTTTACATCTTTCCAAGCTGAAGACTGCACCTGGGTCAAGATGTTTAATAGCATACTTAACCAAAACTTAGCATGAACAAGAAACCCTTTCATCCTTTAAAGCTTTCTTTCATAATCACAAAGGAGACTCTTTCACACGACCCACCTACCAGAGCAGTTTCAGGGCAGCATTCTGCAGCCTGACACTCCCTGGGAATATCTTCCTGCCATCTCACATTTTTACCTCCCTTTTCCTGGCTCTCAGACCTGCTTGTCACATTAACGCCAGGCTTACCCACACAACTTGTCGTTTGGATATTTGATCACCGATGCACGTTAAGTTTTGAAAAGTGGTGATTAGTGAGAAGAGGTTGCCAGCTTCTTCTAAGAGAGGAATAAAATCCTGCAATATTTTCTGCACCGGTACATGTGGTTTTTTGCGTGCAATCCTCCAGGGTTTTTTTTCTGCAGAGGTGTGTGAGGGCATTTTATTTCGTCACCCAGTCAGTCAAAAGCCTTGGTGTATTTAGTGACWGTCCCTATTGCCCACGGCTTCGCGGATAAACGCCAGGTATGAGGTGATGCATTTGGGAGACCCGAGGGAAGGTGATGTGGGGGATGTGACCCTGCTCCCGCCACCCGTGCAGGCTCTTACCGTAGCCCATGAGGGACTGGCAGCTCCACTCGCCGCCCGGGCTSGGCCTCCTGCAGTTCTGCCACAGCGACGCTTGCTGCACATAGGGCAAGGTCTGCGACTCCAGCCAGCCATTGCCCGCCAGAGCGATGATCCCGAAGATGACTCCTATGCCCAGGAGCAGGGGAAGGATCCATCTGCAGCGCGTGTAGTCGAGGCCGTACTTCACCATGGCTGCGGGCAGGCGGCTGAGGGGACGAGGACAGCTCTGTGTGCCACAGGCTCAGCGACACGAAGCGATGGCTGCTCCTGCAGGGCTSCTGGAAAGCCGCGCCGGTACCTGCGAGTGCAGGTGTTCCAGAAAAGCTTTCCAGCAGGACAGACACAGCRGAGAGGGAGGGAKGGAKGGAGGGAGGGAAGGAGCTCCACCTAGATTCAGATGAGWAAGAGCTGCCGCTGAGCAATAACCAGTTGAGCTGGGAGAAGCTTGAGGCKGGGTTTATCTGCGGGATCTTCTCTGCCCTGCTGACGAGGTAACAAATCAGGAGCTGTTTACCCTCGGCATTTAACACTTTCTTTCCTGACATTCCCACCAGCAGGAGCATCCCACAGCTGTGCTTACACCCTTCTGTCTTCTAAGGGATTTGTGTTATGGCAGGTGAAAACAGAGACAAGAGAGGGAACTCTTKCATGATATGGTGGATACTTCCAAAACTTGCCACCTGGAGGCTGAAAGCTGCCTTTCTTTGACTCCACTGAAAAATAAAATCATACCTTATTTTTTACAGTTAAAGGAATTCCCCTAGCTGCAATAAAGCTAAGACAATATAGAATATGACTGTCATCTCTTCCCCTTCTGGGGCAYAGGTGCAGAGGAAAACAAACCAAAGTTTATGATTAAAAACATAGTATGATCTGGATGCAGCCTTAGTGGGAGAACAAAACCAAAGTTTTGATTTGACTGAGCCTCAGAAACATTCCCTGTGTRTGGATCTGGCTGTACATGCCCTGCCTGGGGCCTGTCAGAGCCTGTYTGTGGCTGCTATGGGAGCAATGCAGGGATGAGCCATCCCTCTCCATGCCCTGGGAGGACACCCAGCCGAGTGCAGRGCTGAGTTTTCTGTCTATCGGCTCAGAAGCAATATTGCTTCTGAGTGCATTTCCGGCACTCTCCCTTTGAAGTAGCATGTGCTCCAATCTAGTATTTTGGTGGGGCCCAATCACATTTACATCTGGAAGCAGCTGCAACCCTTGATGAAAATTGGTTTGTGTGAAACACAGTTAAGCCCAGAGGATGCAAACTAYCCTTTGCTCCCGTGGTGGATTTTGACAGGTGGGGCTGCATCCAGGTACTGACCTCATTTACTCAAAGAAATTTGCTACTGTCTTGCAGCTCTCATGGTGCAATGCGACAGCCATGAGCTGTTTGTGAGCTGCAAACTCCACAGCATTTTTCTGAATTCATATTAATAAATCAATAATGGCCTAAATAAAAGAAATAAATGGTGTATATTGCATTAGTTGCATATATTAATTTATATTGCATTAATACACTGTGCCTGAAGAGGCATTGAGCTTGCAAAGAACCAAACTGGAACTTCCACAGCAACGAGCTGCAGCACAGTGAAGAAGTAGTAACTCCATGAAGAATTTGGTTTGAAAAGGTTAACATGATAGCGTGCCTTATCTCTCACCAGATACCTGATTAGCCTGGTGATAGATTAGCAGTGGTGTGGCTGTGTTATCTCTCATTTTGGCCAGCTGAAGCATCCTGCCAGCAGCTGCCCTGCAGCACAGACATGGTCCAACACCCCTGTGGCTGTAAGAGGTCCATCAGGGGTACCCAACAGGCGTCTGTGAGTGCAGGAGACATTTTTACAGTTTTAGCCATTGGATTTGAATGTCACTGAAAGCTAAAGCCAGCTCTGAAGACACTTCAGCTGCTGTTTTGTGTTGGAAATAAGGGACAATCTCACTTTTTTTTTTTTTTTTTTTTTTTTTTTTTTAAAGTAAACTTTAGGGAACAACCATTTCCTTAGAATAGAATGTATCTTCCATTGCAGTCCATAATGGCGTTATCCACAAATTCAGCTATCATTAACCTTATGTTTAAAATGCCATTTACCAGTTCTTTAACACTGCAATATAGATATTTTTATGTGTGGGTTTTAAAAAAAAAAATTACATTAAAGGAAATAGCATTTGAAACTCAACCTTAGTGCACTACACTGGTAGCTGCAAGCTGTCCAAGTCTGCATACACGTTCTTTCTGTTGCCACAGCTGAGGTAGAATTGGGCACAATAGCATTTGAAAGATGGAGAGAACATTGGTTTGGATAGGAAATGGCTTTTAAAAGATGGCTTCAGAAACACTCATGAATGTGGCAGTAGAGTGTAGACAAGCCTTCTGTCATCTGCCTATACAGTCCCTTGCCAAGTTTCAGCCTTCCAAAACATTACAGCTTGGTAAGGAAATAGCAAATCAAATAAAAGCAACTTTGTACCTGAGCTCTAGTATGAAGTCAGGTACTGTCATGAATTTGAGAACCACTGTCTGTTCAGGAATAAAATGGTCTTCCCTGGATTTGGAATGCTCAGCCATGTTTCAGATAGGCACTTACTGAAGGATTTGTCATCAGTTTCTATTACAGCYCATACTGTTAGAAATGCTCACATCTGCAAGGTGGTATCACAGAGCACATTACAATATTGTGAAAGAAAGGTGAGTAGTGTTTCGTCACCACAGTGTTTCTGTGTCTCRCCCACCTTGGTCATCCTTAAGTAACTTAGAATTACAAGCAATCTCYACACTCAGTAAAAGGGTAATTTGTGATACCTTGAACCATAGAGAGGGTGATATCTCCAAAGGTGACAAAATGATGTATCTATCTCATGTCATTTTGATACTCCTGTGGCAAACAGGGAAAAATGATTGGAAACTTTATGTGATGTGATGACTTACCTTCACCATGCTCTGTACAAGCTGTGTGTTTACATGAAAGAAAATGCTTGTTCTCCTTCTCCAGTATCTGTGGATAGTCTCTCCTGGCTAWCATCAGCTTCATCTGTCAAAAATTAAGATTTATTACCAATGTTAAAACTGTTAGACTGTAGTGCACTTTCTGCACCTAAAAATATTGGTAATGAATCTTCATTATTACTTGAGGTAACCAAATAAAGCAGGAAGATATTGATAAAACAAACAAGAATTTGTTTGTTTTAATTTAACAAACAAGAATTTGTTTGGTTTTAGTTAATTTAATATAACTCTACAGCATTAGAGTTAAAAATAAAAATATGCCTTTTTCAGCCAAGACACAAATGGTTTTCTTAGTCGAAGAAGAAGCTAACAAATCACTGGCAGCATATTTTCGTTCACCTTTAGATTGACCTGGTCAGCTAAGCTATACAAATGACTGGATTGGCATAAGCTGACCAGTTGTGGTGCACGTTCATGACTTTTGCAGCATGTACATTTTCGTTCTCTGATGTTCACACTGCTTATAAACAAGAAGTCCCCAGAATCTGGATTTTAAAATATTTGCTGAGATTATTTTATAATTTGTATTCTTGTGTGCTAGCTTACATCTAACAAGTCACTCCGAGCATATATCTCATAATTATTACTATTATATTTATTAATCTATTTACAACCATTGGTCCTTTTTTCTGGTGATGCCAACCTACTGTTTCCCATTGAAAAGGGCTGCACTGCAGTTATTGTTACAACCACAGGCTACAGAGTGGCAACTCAGCCAGCCAGATTGTACCTTGTGGTCACTCCCTGTACCCTGCATCCCCTGGGCAGACAGGCAGTAATGKTCTCAATATGACTAATAATTCATCCAAAGCAAGCACATGTAAAAAAAGGCCTTCAGACATCAKAAGTGTTCACAGGGTAATCCAAGCTGCAATTCCTTTATGTTAATTAGMGGGGCACTTGAATTGTGTTCTGAACAGGACCTGGCTTTACTTCTTTGCAAAATAAGAACACCCACCTATAAAATGAGCCCAGTTGAGATCTTGTAGTTTCCCCTACCCCAGCCCTCTCTGAGGAACTGTCCCGTGGTGGCCAGGCACYGTGACTCCTCCATGACATTTATGATGAGCTGGGAATGGACAGTGCTYAGTCCTGCTGCACTGTGTTTGGGGAAGCTTTCCTCTACCTGTCCCACACAGCACAGGAAAGCTCTGCAGATGTTGGATAYATCCTCTGTTCACTGACTGCTGAGCTCAGAGAAAAATTCCCACAGGTTTTTGTTAAGGGCCATCCAGGACCAGCTTGCTGCTGGACCTCCAATGCCTGCCCCCCAAGAGCAGCCCTGTCAGCTCTTGTCAGTAAAGAAGRCTTGCCTTGACAGGAAAAAGACTTAAGCTTAAAAGGGCTTTCTTCCTCTCCTTAGCAAGGCTACATGTGCAAACCAGTAACTTTTAACATCCAAAATGCAAACATGGGGCAGCATCCAGGATTCTAATTTATGTGAGCAATTCAAGACTGTATTCGGAAAAGAAAACAAAGGGAAACATAAGATTTAGAAAGCACAAAGACACTGTGAGMATGGATTTAACTGGCAGCTAGTTTTTGCTAAAGGACATGATAAGCTAGAAGTTTAATGGGTTCAGTCAGCTCTCCCTCCTCCAGGCAAATGGCTGAAATCAAGGGTGTCCTGTAATCCAGCTACTCAGCTAGCAGCTGAGATGGCCTCTGGACAATTGCATCTTCCTTGAGCAGCTGTCAGGAGCACAAACTCTCTGGTGAGCACACAGAATCATAGAATGAAAGAACCATAGCATGTTGCATACAGGAATTTTATGAACCTGTAGCTAAGTTAGAATGGCACAGATGGTCTGGTTCTACATATGGGATAACTTTATTTTAGCTACTTGCTTTGGGCTTCACAACTTCTCTGTGCAYAGGTGAGCTAACTAAATACTTGTCCTGTTGTAGCAGATCATAACAGTAACTCCTTGTAAAGCATAAAGCTCAGCTGCCTTAGGAGAGAAATAAAATCAGCTTCACTTAGGTAATTCCCAAGTGCCACAGCCTTGCTACTTACAGCTCTCTGTCAAAGAAATGCCTTTTATCTGCTCTGCCTTATGGGTCAGGTGGGAATAGCTACTTGTTTAAACACTCTGAGATTTACAGATATGACATGCACACCAGCATATCTTTGAGGGTTTCAGCCAGGAATTTTCACTTTGAGATTCTCCAGCCAGAAGTAGGATGTCGCTGAAATTAACATGTTATATGGAAATGATTTCTTCAGTTTTAAAGGTTTGATATGAAATTGATTTTAAAAGAGGGCTGAAATTAAAATGGAAGTCTCCTAGCAACATTTTCAACTTACTCTCTTGATACCAAATGCCAATTATTATTTTTGCAAGTTTTGTTTTGCAAGTTMTTTTGTCTATTTCAAGTCAGAAGCTAATCTTCTGGTATAAAAATTCACCTAAATTATTTTTTTTCATAGTAAGTTCTGCTTATTTCCTGTTCTAAGAGGTTGCTAACACAATGAGAGCTTAAAAATAGGCTATTTCCTGACAAGGGACTGCAATGGCCACAGGTCAACTCCTGTCCCAGTCAAAAGTCTCWATGTGTACTCAGGGCTGTGATTATCAAACCTGCTTCAATCATGATAATTTCCCAGGGCAGCACACTGTAGGGCAGGACTTACCTGGCTTCTATGCAGGTTTTTTAATTTTTTTAACAGTTTCATCTGAATGCTCACTCTAAACCTTTTTGGGCCCTCTCAAACTCAGTGAACACTGATTTCCAATGTATCACCTTAAGGCTTAGCAACGTTTGATGCTTATATAGTGTTTTGTATTCACAAAGACCTCTGTGAAAAATAGTATGTGCTGTCCCCATTCCCACAGATAAATAAAAAGCAGCAGCCATACCAACTCCTCTAGTATTATCCAATCCTGCAAAGATAAACCCATGAGGAACAGAATTTATTTCTTAGTTATATTATATAATGCATATTTCCTATCATTATTATTTATCTTGTTTATAGCTGTAATATTTATATTATAAAGCTCCAGGCATGCCTGCATATTTTCTTCTACAGTCTTTATTATAAATACAGCCTTATTAAATTTATACATTCAAAAATCCCGATGAAAAACCCCTTTGGATTATTCTAATAATCTTCAAGTAATGTAAATGTAACTTTATATAGGCAAAATTTGAGTGCATTGGATTTTTGCCTGGAATTTCTAGATGTCAAGGTTCATAGCTGGTGCAGCTTTGCCCACACCTTAGGACACCAGGAAATCCCAGACAAAAGGCTGCTCACTGTGCCAGTGCAGACCTGCACCATGGAGTCATTGGACCTCTCTCATAAACAGAATGCACATGTGCAGTAAATGGGATCTACACACATAAACTGCTGCAGCCGTGCAGCAACACTCATTCACCAGTTTTGTGAACTCACTGTGCATGGATTTCACTGCTCCTGTACAGATGTTACAGGAATCAAATTCAGAAACTCAGCATCCCTATTTTTGACATATGCTTTCTTCTGGTTGTATTATCCCCAAGTTTATTTAAAAGTCTGTGCAACTTCACCTACTGGCACAGAATAACCTGCTTTTTCAGGGTGCTGTTCTATATTGCCAGCAACCCCCATTGCTCTGAGTTGTGGGATCAATACCTCAGCTTGCTCAAATGTTGTGCATCTCCTAAAGAATTTTGGTTTCTGTGTGCTTGGTTCATAATTGATTTGTAAGTGCCCAATGATCTTAAGAACTCTCTTTGTGTGTGTGTGTGCAACATTTTCTTTTAACACGCAGTTGTTTTTGTTTCTGGAGCTTATCACCATAACAACCCTCCCCGCTCCCGAACGATCTGTTACTACACTCCCTTGATTTATGTATGTATTCTAGATCCAAAAGCCCTTGTGTGCAGGTGAATAATCTTTTAGAATTCTACCTTGTCAATGAATTGTCTAAAAAATTAGTCACTTGTTACGTCAACTRAAAATACAAAATCCCAGTGGGGTGTGGCAGCTGTTTCCCATATCCATGAGATTTAAGCATTAATCATCCCATTCAGGTCAATTACTCTTCCCCAGCACTCAGTCATGCACATTTTTGATTGCTCATAACTCCCCCTGAGACAAGGGCCACGTGTGCTCAGATTCTCCTGWACTGCTCTCTCGTCTCCCAAACTGGATTAGAAGAGGCAACCCTGCAGCCTGAAGCTCACTGGAGATGTTCAGGTGACTTTAGTGAGCACAGATTGAAGTTGCAGCTTAATACAGACCAGTAGGTAAACAGGAGTACAAATTTTCTTCCTGTGTAAAGAAGGACACTATAGAAACCCTGCAATTATCTTCAAAACATTTAGGAAAATCTAAAAGGAATCAAAATATTTTTCCTATTTGTTTATTTAAAATTAAAAGTAATTAAAAAGGGAGGGATATGGAAACAAAACTCAAAAATAAATACTTACAAAGCACCAGAATCCGGGATAGTAAGTGTATTTAAAAATTCAGATATTTAGGAATGAGGACGGATTAAAAAAAAAAAACAAACAAAAGAATGATGAAACCTGTCTTTCCAGAAATCAGAAGGTGGTGTAAGGCAAAAGTGACTGACTGATGTGCTCTCTTTAAAAATGCTACAAGGACAGGGCTATAATATGGGCCATGCATAACCCGAGGTTATAACTAGGAACGTTTCTAATCATGAGGGAAGCACAGCCTTCCACTGAAAATAGCAGGTGAGTACACTATATTTTTTCACTATTTAAATTTCTTGATTTCTGATTCAATTTCTTGATTTCTTGATTATAGGAAAGGCACTTGGAACAGTTTTGATAAAGARCAGACTTCCCACACCCAAGACTTTCTGTAGACTGTTGTGCATTTCAAATGTTTAGAGTTCCCCCCTTAAGTTGTGATGCACTTAAGAGGTTTTGGCTCAAAGAACCTTCTATGCCTAGCACTTCAATGAAAGTGCAGACATGCTTTGCAGTGCATACTGAAGCTCATTTGACTGGAAAATGAAGTTGCTATCTCCTGGACACAAGGTCTTTAACTTCATTCTACTTACCTGATACTTTATGGATACTGACATTCACATTAATGAAAAAAATTGTTTGATTTGAACCACAAACACCACCACATTTCTACAACTGTCAGTTAAAACATTTTTAATTAAGCCACCACATTTGAAAGGAGTGTCACATACATTGATATCACTTGAAAGTAATTAATGACTATTTGCAACAGYTTTCTCTGGAACATCTTGGTTGTGTAACATGCTGCTTATGCTTCTACCCCTCCCAGTACATTCAGAGCCAAGTTTATTTTACATTTGTGCTTTTTTGACAAGTTATGCCAATGCTTATTAAAAAGCATACAAAATAGTTAAATTATGCTAAACCCAATTACCATATTTCCATACCATTAGGAAAGGTGTCCATTTTCTTACATTTTTTTCTCCTTTTCAGCTTTAGTTGTGCAAGGATTTTCCTAACTTGAGATTTTCTGCTGTGTTTTGAATTCAGTGGAAGTAGGTACTATCATTACTTATGATACAAGTCTACACAGTAGTCCCCACCAGCCAGTACAGTACAGAAAAAGGAAAAAAAATAAATTTAAAGGACACATTTGTCACAGAACTCTCTTATTCAGCAAGAATCATTAATACAATTGATTGTATGYCACAACTGAGCTTGTAACGCAATTCTGAAGTCTGCAGACATTTATGCTTTGTAAAGTCATAAAATACAGGCCTAGAAGGGACCTTCAGGAATCACCTGGGCTCTCTAAAACAGGATCACACGCAATATATAGCATTATCAAATTGAAAAAGRTGTTACAAAATGGAAGCTATACAATATATAATACAAGAAATACCAGGCATTGACAAAGGTTAACTGTAAATTAGCTTTACAGTCTRTTGGTGAATGCTTTTTAAGTTCTATTTTGTACATGTGTATGGAAACACATAGCCACACACTTACCCTCTCCTAAGCACCAGGTTCATGAGAGTAAGAAAGAACAGAGAGTAACATGCAGCATTTGCTTTCCACCCCACCTGYAGACTCCTCAGTCTGTCTTTGCTAGAGCTACTTCTCCCAGAGATGGAAGACCAGCTCAAAACTGAACTTCTTCCACCTTCCCCAGCTGATGAAAGCCCTAACAAAAATTACAGACCATAATTAAATCTGCTGTAAGATGCTGCAGGTCCATGACCAACACAGACACAGCTACACCTTGCTGGAATACTTATTTGCAATTGCTGGCTGCAGAAACACAAATGAGGAGTCAGCCATATTACTCTGACATGGATGTCTGYATGAAGTTTGCATATGTAAATTGCTCTGAACCGCCTTTCTATTTCTGGCTGTTAACCCTACTCACTCACAAAGCAGCCCCAAGTTTACTGAACTCTGGAGTACCTACAGCATTAGAAACTTCTGGAGGTTTTCAAATACCTTATGCTATGATTTCCTCCAAAGCACTCTGATAATTAAATCACTGCAGCTTTAAAAGGGCAGACAAATAGAACAGCTTATGTTTCTGCTCAAAGATACTTTCTAAACAGCACCCCTCAAATACCATGTAAAAATGTACACAGTTTAACACCTGAATCTATGACAATATATAGATGTGATTCCATCACAAGTCCTGCTGTGGCCACAAAACCACCAACATTGCATTAGCCACTGTTATATACATCAGCTCCGTGCTTTGGAAGAGACCTTGTCCAACAGCACCAATTGGTGGAAAATAAATTTTATTTTCCCTTTAATTCAAATAGCTAATAGTCAACAACAGTCCAGTAACAGGAATGAGAAAATATTTTTAGGCAGCAGTTGACTATGATAGCCTCCCGTGAAGTCCTCCTTTGGGACTGACTTTGATAGAAGAAAAAGCATTCTTTGGAAGGCTGTGGTTTTTTCCTAGTTTCATTTAACACAATTTTGTCAGAGGTGAAAAAAAACAACCTATCCCGCAGGAACCACTAATGAGTTGTTTAAAATCTATCCTTTTCCTTTCTACACTTGAAACTATCATCTTTATTCATAAGAAAATGATGTTTGAATAAAATAAGGATGACTCAATTAATCAGGAGGGGAAGGAGCAAGTAAGCGGCCCAAACTGAACTGGCATGAGAATATGCAAATACTTCAGGTAAAAGCTATTTGCTTAAAGATGCCAATGTTTTTCCTAATTTATTGCCAGGGACAGTAAGAAATACTCTGGTGAAATAAGGTGGGTTTTTTCAGTCTCCTACAATCACACCAAATGTACATCAGAGGTGCTCCTCTGTTGTTTTGATAGTTGATCGTACTTGGATGTAATTTTTCAATTTAAGTATGGTGCTCTCTCTGGGGAGGAGTAGTAATAGGTAGGCTTGATGTTTCCCAGGACTTCATCTTCCCAGTTGGGGAGGCAGCAGAAGAAGAAAGCACAACCTATTACAACAACAGTGCTGGCCCATCCAAAGCCATAGGCCCAGCTGAACATGTTATCTCCGGTCAGTGGAATTTCTTCTGTGAATTTCACTGGGTAAATGACCAAGCCAATGATCTGGAATGCAGCTAGAGCCAGAAAAGAAAGAAAAGCAAGAGTAAGTTACAGTGAACATATTAGGGTTCCCAGTAAAAATAGGTACCTGGAGATAAGTGCATACTTAAGATATGTAAGGATTAGCTTCAGCCCTGCAATCCAATCTGCATTGTTACAGAGGTACATGACTTCTGTGCCAGGCAGATCCCCACGCCTATGTGGTTGTGGCAGCTGCCACTGCCAGGTTGTGAAGGCACATACCTGCATGCTGTGACCAGCCCTGTCCTACAGCCAGCACCGGGAACCCTGCCGAGCCAGTTACCTCCCAGAGCCCTGCTCCTCCTCCCATGAGAAAGGTGGGAAGCACCCGGGGCTATCTGCTCTCAAGTTTTAGCATGTGACATGCAGGGTCAAAGGTGTTGGGTGTCCCCATACAGTGCTTTTTGGGAAAGTGAAAACTGACAAAGGCCACTGGAGCTTCCCTTACCATTATCCTCTCAGATGGCAAATCAACCTTTCCTTGTTCCCCATGAAAATGAGTCATAAACCAGACAAGGGCAGCTGATTTCGTAAGGGAGGCTCCATCTAGCATGTTYTTCTGCTGATGCCTGTTTCACATCTAAAATAAGTCTGTCTCTGTGCCCAGCCTTACCAACAACAAAGAGCAGGCCTCCAATTCCTCGCACAAAGTTGAAGCGGAGGATCTCGATCGAGAACGCGATGACTGCGAGAGCGAAACAGATGACCAGGATCACAAAGCCAACAAGGTATGTGGCAGCTGCTGCTCTCCCCCATCCTTGAAGAGAAAACAGAAAAGGTGTTACACACAGCAGTACTCTTCCGTAGGTCACTGCAGCTCTTCAGTTTGCTTTAATAATTTTTAATTTAAATCCTTTCCTGTAAGAAGCATATCCTTACATTGTCAAAGCAATGCTGAATGCCTGCAAAGCACACAGCTGCAGAGCAGGGAAGCACCATCACTGCTGGAGCAGCACAGGATTCCCAACCTGCTAATTTGGATTGCTGAAAAGGGGAACAGAGTGCACCACAGAATAGAGATAATACCTTCAAACTGTGTCTTTCAGACACCCACAGACATCTGAACAGATAGGGCACACAAGGGCTGAAAATGCCCTTTTATCATTACAGTTCCTGTTCGATATGCAAGTTTACAAAACCACTTCCATGCACAGGGAAATGTGAAAGCAGACAAGAGGATACCACCACAGGAGATAACTRCTGGGAAGTAACAGTACGGTCAGCATAAAATTTCTGTTTGTTGATGACAAGAATAGTGCATGTGGAGCAAAATAAGCATGACCAAAAAGAAATAAACTTGGAATAGCTGAAACGATGGCAAAAAGGAAGTTCTTTAAGATAAATGTACACACAGCTAAAACAACAAAACAAACAAAAAACAACAAAATCTGAGTTAAAAGTTGATGAGTCCTTTTTGAATCATTACTTTGACATTTGCCAGAACAGGGTGTATCAAGCTACTGCATGCTGGAGAGGCTCAGGCATGAAGCAAGTGRCTGCATTCCGGCAGAGCAGCACCAGCACCCAGAACTCACTCACCACAGGCCAGGGCCAAGGCAACAGTGGTAGGAAAACCTCCTAAAAAAAACAGCCAGTAATTCTACTTTTGCAGTAACATGGCCTTGTGAAAAAGGCCTCACACACCTCGTGCTCAGAAACCAAGTAATTTAGGTGAGCCCAGTGCAAACAACTACAAGCTAAGGTGTYCCTGCCCTGGAGGCAGGATACCTGCCCACAAGAGCTAAACCATACTGGCTAGTGCTTTGTTTTCCAGTCAGCCATCATCACAGTTCAATTCCCACATCTACATAATGTGGGTTTCTACTTTCACACACTCAGASAGAGGTAGGGCCAGATCCTGAGCTCCCTCTAATGTAGAAATAAAGAGGCYAGTAAGATCTAGGTCAGAACATTTAAAACTTCTCTCATCACAGCTGTCCATTCCAACACAGCTTAAGCGACTTTGGAGATATTCTGCTTTCAATGTAGTCTCAATTCTTTCTCTGCAATTTGCTATCTGAAAGCAAAGCATTGTTTTACAGCTATTTTAATTAGATTTGTTTGAACTGGTTTCTTGCTCCTCTAATCCAACAGCAAAAGTAAAATACAGCAGGTATCTATCAGCCAAATCTCTGCCCAAAACTCGTAACCACCACCACTGCCATCTGAAGACAATAAAGCTGACACAGAAAAGCTAAGCAAAAGGTTTTTCTTTCCCCTCTCCCTTCCTGGAGCTCCTCAAAACAGTAAAAACTTTTCAAACTAGTCTTCCTTCAGCTAGCTGTGCATATTTCATACTCCTTCCCTAAGGTAATGCTGAGGGGAAGAAGCAAGGAGGAGACCTGATGAGTGTCTGCAGGTTAGAGCCACGTCAGAAGTTTGATAAAATCTTTTTATGCAAAATATTCTCTGACATCCCTAACACAAGAGTTGAATATTGTCTCCACAACAGGATTTCTTYAGTGATAACTAATATACAGGGATTTATTCACAGCAAGTCCAGGAGAAACGATTCAGACTAGATCATCCAGACAAGCTATTTATCAGTATTTGCCCCATTAAGAAAAAAAAAGCACAACAAGGAAGAACACTCAGCTATCATCACATATTCCCTTTCAGATGCATTTTTTTATGCTGACAAGATGCAGGAAGACAAATCTSGCATCTGCTAGATAAAATTTAGGTTGTAAACTCAAATACACCTGCATCTTAGGCACCTTGAGGTTCGTGCAACACAAATACAAGTGGAGGAGTACAAGGCAGAATGCCCACAGTGCTCCCTCTGCCATTTTCACATCATCTGTGCTGTCTTTACAAGAGTAATAAGCTTTTGGATACAGGGCAGCCCTGGCTCCCTTCACGGTGATTTATTTTCTTGTCTCTGGCAATAAGAAAAYGACAACACATATAGCTGCAGGAAGTGTCTTGTCAGGAAGATTAATATCAAGCTTTGCTTCAGGTCTTCAGAAACGAGGCAGCAGTAGGCACCATCATTACGAACCTCAGCGAATTTTGTGCTCATGTGTGACAGAGCTCAGTGCTGGTGGCCTGGTACCCTCCTCTCTTTCTCCTGCTGGATTATCTTTTCCAACAGCAGCCAGCAGCAGGTTCATGCTGACAAGGCCTGATAAGACTGAGTCATAGGTGATGCCCACAGCACCAGATGGRTGTGCTCTGGGCTGGATGAATGTTACCAGCCATTGGACAACAAGCCAGCCACTTGATCCCCTGTGAGAATCATAGGAACAGCAGCATAAACCTCTGCACTTATGGTTAATTTTTGAGATTTTTCTTACATCGTGGGTATATCTAAGTAAGTCTTTTAATAAGTGACTGATGGGAGAGACTGGGGTGGGAGACTGCACCTTTCCTGAGCACAGGGTGCAGCCCTGGCATGTTCCTTATCCACATGACCTSTTGCCACCTTCAGCAACAGGGAGTCTTCCCTAGAGGGGCTGCTGCAGGCCTAAGGCTAAAATTGCTGTTTCTCCATGCAGGACCCCTCTCATCCCCATACCTATCAAGTCAGGCTTTTCAGGCTCCTTTTCCTCCTAAAGGCTTCTGAGAGCTGATTGAATACCCACAGGTGCCCAGCTCTCCTGTTTTTCTGAAAGGTCCTCTCTCTACATCTCCCAGCTGCCAGGAGGGGAGAGGTGCAGCTTTACCCCTCTCACTGTTTGCTGCTGTAAGAGCTCAAGAGACTTGCTCACAGCCAGAGAATGACAGATTAGTCCCAGTTTCTTTCTGGTTTGTGCTCTTAAGTACCTTGTAATCGTAAGATATTCAGACAGAATTTAAGCTTTTCCATAAAAACATTCTCAGATCCATTCWCTTAGCAGAGAGAGTATTTCTTATGCGAAATAAACATAAATATGATGCCTGTTTATGAAAACAACCAATAATGCCACCATAATTTGGAGCTGCATCATTAGGAAGGCAGAAGGAGAGCAGAAAGCAGAGAAATAGTTGGAAGCATTAGTGTTTCCAGGTCAGCTTGGCCTCAAATAGTCAAGTTCTTTGCATCTAATCAGCAGAAAAGTATTTATCACTGAGGTGGTGTTGAAAGAACATTTAAAAAACTGTTCAGAAGCTGAAGGTCTATAATTATTAGGAAGGATTAAGAGTTTTATTACATAGCATTACATTACATTAATGATTACTATGGCAAGGAACTAAGCTGCAAATGTTATCATGCAAATAACTAGGAGGGGTCAGGATTACTTAATGTTAAAGATGAGCACCAGTAATATGATGAAATTAAAAGCAAGCAAGCAACAGAGCCTTAGTGTTAAGTGTATTTCCTGATTTCATTTGGCCATGCCTCAGCCTCACCAGGGAGGAGATGAAATCTCTACAGGCTAAGATATTTAAATCTAGATTTCTCTTTAGAAATAAATAAAAGAGCTGGGAAAATAATCTAGCAGGAAGATGAACTACTACAGGATTTGAAGTAAGAAGACTCTCACCTTCATTTACTCACTCCCAGAAGCAGAAGATAGTTTGTTAGCATACGAATAAAAGGAATCTTAGAGTAGAAGCTTTTAATATGACCTGCATAGAAGGGGCACATCTTACACTGTAGCTGTAATATTCTTCTGTATATAAACAGCAGTAGCAATTCTTGCTTGGCATTAAGAGCCCATTACATATAATGTCAAAAAAACCTCCCTTTTTTGATGTAATAAAGGAGCAGTGGATTGAGAGCAAAAGAACACTGTCAGCACTATTTTCTTGCTCAGATAATGTGCAAACTTCCATAGTAGCATGACAGGTGAGAGGAAGTTTTGTGCATACCCACCACAAGCACAGAGGAGCACAGAATTGAAGGTTTGCTGGAAATTAGTATTGGGAATCACAACTGTTTTGGCTTTGGCAGTGCAGGAAAACCAATTGCTATACCTCCAAATTATTAATACAAGCCCTCTAGTACTTGGGTTCAGCTGAGAGCTGAGGAGAGGCACAGTCCTACACATTCGCAACTTTTAAAGTCTCTGGATTGTTAGSAGTGGAAGCGTGCCTGCCCAGGAGCCAGGAAAGCACACAGGCAGAGACGCCAGCCTCACCTGTTCACTGGGATCTTTTACCAGGGAGTTGCAGTGTTTTCTGGGCGTACGCASGGACACCAACTGCTACGCCTTTTCCATTAGCATTTCCCGAGTGCCTGCACTTGGCTGATGTTATAAAYCATGTTAGTTTGCTGTGAATGCATCCTGGCATTGTAAATCAGRCAAAAGCATGCCTGAACAGAGGTGCATTGAAAAGATAAGCATACGTCTAACATTCTTCCTTTATTTACCTGGCCCCTCAGTGAAATCACCACATGCACTCAGTTTCACCAATAATCTGCGGTATCAAAGTCCATGCTTCTAAGGACACAGGTAAAGTGGCACAGCTGCAGTGAAACATGATTCACAAAGGCTGGGCTCCTACTTCTAGGCTCCACACCTTTTTTTCTTCCTTTCTGGGTTTTTTTTGGTTTTTTTTTTTTTTTTTTTTTTTTTTTTTTTTTTTTTTTTTCTTTTGGCACTTACTAAGGACCAAGAAAAGTGCTTCCCTTTTTCTTCGCTGGCTGCTGTGTTCTTAATGAATAACGACTGTCTGTTAGGAATGCAGGAAAGAGTTAACCTAATGGGGTTACCTTTACTGCACACAGTACACACCCATCTTTTACAGTGTTAATTCAAAGCAAAATCACTGGAACCAGCCATTCAGAAATAGGAGGACACAACCACCCATAAATACTGCTCCTAAACTTACAACCTCATCACTATAAAGACAATCATCCTCTCCAAGTAACAAACACACTGCAAATAATCCTTGTCATAGCCGATGGCTTAGTGATACATTTAAAACACACAGTCAACAGTTAAATCCTGCAATGGGCTAGACTAACTCATCTTGAGTCACATTCTAGTGCAGTACAGCACTTCTGTATTGCAACATTTTGATAATACCCAGACGCTGCCAGCCAGGGCACTTCCCAGACACAAACCAGTAGAGAACTCCAAACAAAATCCCTTCCCTGCCTCCCTACCACATGACATCCTACTCTTCTTTTTCCCTTTCACTTCTTCCTTCTCATGTAGCATTTGCAAATGTGCATTAAGGAACTATGAAGTTTAGGAGACACTCCTATTTGCAAATCTTTGTCTTTTCCTGCCCCTTCCCCTCATTTAAAATAAGTGACTCGCCTGCTTTTTTTCTTCCTCTTCCTAGTACACATGCCACAGCTCAATTAAGAATTTGTCTAATGGAACATTCTGTTAATGGAGGTCCACTCTGAAGTCTTCATTTCATCAGGAGAWGAGCAGGATGGTTAGTGCACAGCATTTACTGTATGCAAATCAGAAGTTATGCATCTCAATTAGTTAACTTCTATTTTCCTGCAGCAGTGCTATAAATGCCTGATAGGCATTTTTTCCTTTGCAAATGCCCTCRCCTATTTTGACACTAATTGCATAAGCATAGAAGAAAAGGAAACAAAATAAATCAAACCTGAATTCATATGTTACATCCTGTCTCTAGATGTAAATATACTATTTGAATAGACAGCAGCATTGATATTATGAAAATTTGAGAACAGGCAAATTCATATAAATAAGCCAAGGATTTAAATAAGTTTTRGTTCAAATAAGTGAAGTCAAGAACATTGTTCTTCTCTGTCAGCCTGTTAACTAGAAAAAAACGCAGAAATTTACTTTTGTCCCACAATTCTGAGGGCTGATGCAAAGCACACACCCATCAGTACTCAGGGACGTGTGAAGCAGTGTCACTACAGGAGAAAACAAATTCCACCAGCTGTACTGTATTAGCACTTTTTCCCTGTGCAATGCAAATTTCAGAAACTCTGCACTAGCTTTTCTTCTCTGYCTGATGCAGGAGATGGATATTTTCATCTCACTAGCCAGATTTCTTCCACCTGTAGTAAAGCCCGAAGTCATCATCCAGCTGAGAAATGAAGCCACTTCTCTTACAATATATTCAGGATTTAGCTTGTGCATGAATGTTGCAATGAAAGGCTTCTGGAAGTGAGTCTGCCGTGCTCAGGCGGCAAGGGATCTGCGCAGGGAAACAGTCCCAGCTCTCCCAAATGAAACACACCCTTCCAGCCCCCCAGTCCCTAAAGAACTCTCATCCAGGATCTTAAGGCGGGTCTGCTTATTTGTCCAGAAATATTTTGTTTGAGGGAAAAGCAGATGTAATCAGACCCACGTGTTCTAGCAATAAAACAAAAAGTCCCCCAAAAGACCTAGAAACTGAGTGTGCAGTAAGAACATCACAGTGGTGATGCCAGATACAGAAGCAGCTAAGCAAGTCAGAAGAGAGGCACGCTTATCCCTGATTTAGGCCCCAGTGCAACAGAGAGGTGYACACACGAAAGAGCATTTCTTTTCCTGTCTGCGAACCCACATCAGTCCATTTAAAGCTTTAGATCAGGAGGCATTTTAATAGCTGCGCTCTTTTGGCCAGGAGGGTTAACTTAAGGTGCTCTCTCTCTCTGAAAGGTCGGGTAAATTCCATTTTACTACTGTCCAGGTGCAGTTCCGTGTAGGACACCCTGCATGAAGGTTCCACACTCCCCCTGCGATCAAGGAGGCCACAGGCACAAGCTCCCGGGCACGGAGCTGCCTGGTGCCAGGTAAGCCCGACGAGAGCTCAGGGGAAGCAAACACACGGACTTGGAGACAGCTGCTATCTTACTCTGRTTGTAAGATAACTGTAGAAAAACCCAAAATACAGCACCCCGGCTTCTCAGTGTTGTACTGATTAAAAAAAAAAAAATATCGCTCTGGAGCAGTCTAGTCCTGTGTTTCGTTGCTGGTTTAAGCCCCGAAACAGCAGGGAGACTGGTTCTGGAGGGGAACTCCGTCCCAGAAAGCAGCTGCTCCACAACAGAGTTAGGGAAGGTCAGTGGCTTCGGCACCCACCGCCCGGCTCCGTCGGGGGGCTCCTCACTCACCGTAGTCCATGAGGGATTCGCAGCTCCAGTTGAGGTCCTCCTCGTTCCGCGTGCAGCTCTCCCACAGCGACGCTTGCTGCACGTAGGGCGCCGACTCGGACTCGAGCCAGCCCCGGCCCGCCAGGGCGATGATGCCCATGATGATGGCCAGGCCCAGCAGCAGGGGCAGGAGCCACCTGCACCTCCAGCAGGCGAGGCCGCACACCACCATCGTGCCCGGCCGGCGGCGCGCCCAGCGAGCCCGGGCCCAGCGGGTGTGGTGCGGCGGGGACGCTCCGCCGGGACGGGAGAATGCGAGCGTCCCGCTCCGAGCGGGGTTTTAAGGCGCCGGGGAGGAGGGAGTCCCACCCACATTCCTCTGACTAAGCCTGCCGCCGCCGGCGGCCCCGACCGGTGGGGCTGGCGGAGAGCGCAGGAGGGAGCGGGGCCCAGCCCGCTGCCGCTGTCCCGGTCCGTCGCCAGCCCCACTCAGCCCCGTCCCTTCCCTTGRCCCGCCCGGGTTCACCATCGCTCTCCTCTCGCTGACCGCCACCCTTCCGCACCCGCACCCGCGTCCACTTCGCTGTGGTGGCACCGCAAAAACACAACCACAGTGAAAAACTGGCGGCTCTCGGGGTTCCATGAGCCCTGCCTTCCTCATGGGRGCTGGAGATCATCATCCTCCTCTCTGATCACTACGTAGACCTACGAGCATTACCCAACATTGATAATACTGATGGTGTGAGCCACTTCAAGTACCAAAAGCGTGCAAAAAGTTGCTTTGCAGTTGAAATAAAAAGATGCCTTAAAGAAAGGTCTCATATGAGGAAGGGARCATGACATTATTAACAACAAAATCATAATTTGTCTCACATCATGCTCAGCATTAAACAAATGCATGGTTTCTGATGGCAATCTAATGTTTGATTGCAATTGTTCTCGGCTTCAGATCAGGCTGTGCTGGGCACTGGACAAAGCCCAGCACTGTACTCAGGACCCATCCACCCTGATCTATTCCCAAGATGACCAAAATGAATGTTCCCCCATCACATGGCATGAATGGACACCCAAAATTTTGGYCGTGGGAGAAGCTCTCCTCCACAATAAGACTTCTCCATATATCACATCATGTCATCCCACCACTCAGCACCAAAGCAAACCTGTCATGTGAACAGACATGTGCTCATGACAGGACTAGAGCTGCGTGTGTTTTGGGCAAMCAGCTCACCGATGTTTGATTGAGTTTTGGAGCAGCCTCTAGGTCTCAGCAAAGAGGTCAGTAGGAACAGAAATCTTTGAGATCTGAAGGRCTGAAGAGAATAATGGGTAAGCAGGATTACATGTGTTTCATGGAGGATGGAGCGCATGAGTTCTTATTGGTCTGCATGAAATGGGATTTTGTAACAGTTTTGTCATATACAATCAAACTGTTCCCTGTGTCAATTCAAAACATATTCATTGGAGCTGTCCTGTGAGGAGGGACGGTCAACCTCACCTGAGTACTGATTSCTGGCAAATATTAGGGAATAGATTGTGATGCTAAAATGGAAACAATAACATGATRTCACCATGGGTAAGTTGCAAAAATCTCAGACAGGGTACTCAAATCATGTTAAGCCCTCTTAACATCCTTCTGATATTCATTCTCACTGTTCAGATTTCATTCCAAATTCATAATAAAGTAGAGCTGTCAATAAAATTTGCCAGAACTACTTGCAAGCCTATGTCACCAGTACCTAGGTTTTGCATAGGGGAGGAGTAAAGGCAGAACTGGGCACCGTGATCCTCTCTTTTTGTCATTACAGCAGAACTTCATTTGTGCAGTGTCAAGCAGGGATTTTCCAGTAGTCTCACTATCAGCACTCAAGTCAGCTCAGAAAGAGATGCAGAAAGCATTTTCTTCAGCACTGAAACTGAGAGCTGTGGAAGAGAAGTGAGGTTAAATTTCATCCATTTGGCAAGAAAAAGAGTAGAAATGCACTGCTCAGGAAAGTGGTCTCTTCATTGTAAGTCAGAGAGTTCCCTCAGTTCAGACAGCACTATAGAGCTGGCTCCTGCTTTTAGTAATTTAATTATTTGGTTTTTCAAGACTGTCCTACACCTGGAGTGCCTCAGTGCCCAGGCACAGTGGTGGCGTGATGAGAAGYTCTGAGGGCAGCCTCCAAGCCCACCACCTCTGGCATGAGTGGCTTGTGTGGCCTATTCTGCTGCTCCCAGTGACCCCATGAAGAGAGAAATGCCATCTTCTCTTTTTTTTTTTTTTTTTTTTTTTTTTTTTTTTTTTTTTTTTTTTTTTTTTTTTTTTTTTAAATACTTGGCTTTTTAACAACTAGGAAATCTAACTAAAGTTAAAAGATAATATACCAAAGATTCCATTCTGTAGGAATGAGAGCCTGCAACAAAGTCAATGAAGTTATCTGCCTTCAGTCCCAATGATACTTGGATTTACTAGCAAAGAAGTCTAGAAAACTAATAAACCAGTGCCTCCTGCAGCAAAACAGGCAGCCCCAGCAACATATGTAGCTTTTCTCACCTCTGGGCTGTATAACCCACATCTTCCCGGAGACCAGATGGTCGGAGTCAGCTCTGTGTGGCTGCAATGATACATGCATAAAAAATATACAGTGCTTTGATTATGAGGARAAGATRCCCTAATATATAAGAGGAAAAGATGCCCTAATATATAACAAAACAAACAGGAGGTTTTTGCTTTACTAAACACGAAATCTGAATGTAGCTTGGCATTCTGGATCAAGCCGCTCTGCCAAATGTACGTTATCTTCAGCTGTGAACACAGCTATGTGTTCTGCAGTTATGAAAATAAGGACACTTTCCCCAGTTTTACCTTCGGCCATGTTGAAAAGGCTCATAAACTTCTTTCACCACCACTACCCKTACCTTTATWTATTTATTATGAAAATAATAAATTMATTTYATAATCTTTGTGGCTCAATAGAAATATTTTTTCTCTGCAGCGTAACAAGGGATATGCCTCTCTAGTAGGCGGTGCTTTACGTGGAGTTAATCATTTACTACTRCTGGCAATCATTCACTCAGCTATCAGAGAAAACCAAGTAGCAMRGAGTGAAGGTCAGRGATCAGCTCCAGCCCAGACAGGTAYGGCTGGGCTCTYCCAGGGTTTGAAATGTGCCATCGGGAATCTGCAGGTTGGTTGCCAAGAGTGCATTTGGGATGAGGGGAGGGGAGTGGGGGACATAGTGGGTAGCACAGTGCCAAGGGCATCCCTTTGCCTTGCAGCACAGAGTCCCTTCAGGGATGGTGTACCTTTTCTTTATCCATTTTACTTGGATATTTTTTTCTAGGCTGTTTACCTGTCAGCTAAAAAAAAATCAGAGAAAAACAATGTCCACAGACTGAACACCTGTTGTAAATCCAATTATTTTGTAATTCATGGGYGTTGTCCTTCAGCAGCGTCTTATGCTCACTTTCCTTCCAAGTGCCCCAGTTCAACTTAATCTCTCTTCAGGCATCACAGCCACCTAATTAGCATCACCTAAACAGGGTAGTCATTCAACCCATAAAACAGGATAGGCATTGGATGTACTTTGTATAACCCACAACAAACACTCCATCAGTCTTACCAGATCAAACTTCAATTTCCTCATGTGTGCTCAAAAGCTGCCATTATGTGAATTTATAAGAAAGCATTTTTCTTTGACCAGCTCTTGTCAGCAGCCCTTAGTTGAACTCAATTCACTTTAGAGACTCCTCTGGGGACGGCACAGATGAAAATAAGCTGGCTCTCTGCAACTGAGGTGCTGTTTATCCTGCTTCAAAAACCTTGTGGATATACTAAGGCAACAGTTTGGCCTGCAGAGGTGTGACTAACCCTTTCTCATTCCAGCAAGGGACACCTTGTGTGACTCCATCAGCCTTAGATGACCTAAAAGCTTAGAAATACAAGGATAATAAAAGCTTCTTCTGTGCACATAGTGCCTATGGTTGCCATACAGTCGTAAAGGTGCACATGTTCTCGCTAGCTCCAGTGTTCTATGCTTGGGCTGTGCAAAGATCTCTCTATTGTCCTGAAGTTCCACTGGATGAAATTCTGCTTCTAATAAAGGAAATAGCAGAATCCCAAGTGGCAGGGTTTTTACCCCAGAGCTCTCTAAAGGCCTCACTTAGATCATGCACATACAAAATCAAGGGTCTTCAGACAACTAAGGTCTATGGATATGTTGCTGCAACTTTTCGTCTTTTGCCTCACCCTCTCATTTGCATTTCTAAAATGCAAAAAAAGAAAGCATCAAATAAAGAACTGTGTCATCCTTGATATCCTCATTGATTTTGGTTTTGTTCATAAACCCTTTTCCAAGGTGGCAAACTGATCATCTTCATGTGTGATGTTACAAAATGCTAGCAATTGCCTGGCTAACACTGGAACTGTTCCTGCAGGAATGGGAGCTTGGTACAGTGTGTGAACATTATTTCCTAGAGYTGCTATTACTGGAACCACCCCTCCWAGAAAACCCAAGGTACAGTGTGTACTTAYACTTGAGAGGCYAGAGGATTTCACTRGCTTTTTASTTTGTTTTCTTTTAAGATAAACTTCTGTTTATTCAAGAACGGGAAAGATTTATTAATTCTTGCAGAGCAGCATGCTTGTGTTTATTGTGACTTTTGTATTCACATCTGATAAATCAAGAAAAGATGTGTCTTGGAAAATATCACATTTATGCAATATCAGATACAAAGCTGGAAATCTTTTTTCACTCAAACTCCCCTTGAGACCTGAGGTTTCTCCTACGCTGACACGGTTTTATTTAAACACAGCGCCGCGGGTGTCTGGGGGCGGCGGGGCGGGGCCGGGGCTGGCGGTGCCTCTGCCGCCAGGGGGCAGGAGACACCTCGGGAAAGGTGGATAGGGAAATGAGATCCAAGGGAGAGGAGGCACCTCGGGAAAGATGGGATAGAGGAGGAGACACCTCGGGAAAGATGGATAGGGAGATGCGATCCTAGGGGGAGGAGACACCTCGGGAAAGATGGGATAATGGGGTACAATCCAAAGAGTAGGAGACACCTCAAGAAAGCTGGGATAACAGGGTGCAATCCAAAGGGCAGGAGACACCTTGGGAAAGCTGGGATACGGGGTTGGGATCCAGGGGGAAGGGCGGCCTCTCGCCAAAATCCCCTGCCCGCAGAGGGGCRTATCATGTCCCGGGACCCTCTACCTGGCTCCCCGGAGCCTCCCGAGTAATTTGGCCAGGCTCGGCGGGGCCTTCTCAACCATCCTGATTTCTGCTCTTCTAGCGACTAGACAGGTGGCCAGACAGGCAATGGTATCCTGGCCTGTATCAGGATTAATGTGGCCA